AGTGCTATGTATTAACGCAGACTGAACCGAAATAGACTCGATTTATAAACAAATAGGAAATACCTTCGTTTTTATTTTAGAATAACCGAAGAGACCTAGAAAATGAGGTCTGAGACTTATTCTTATATTGTTATAATTATGTCTATGTATAAATTAATTACCTAATGGTGATAACAAAAATATCTGTAAACTTCTACATAACATCACGCCTTTTATCCCCGAAGGGGTAGGCAGAGGTGCACATTATGCCACTGTACAGTGTAACACCCACTTTTCACTATTTAAGTGATGGGTCCCATGTAATAGGGGGTGAGCCTATTGCCATATACCGGGCACAATTCCAGACTCCGTGCTACTACTGAGTTTTTTTTTTAAACCGAGTAATACTTTACCCGACCCGGGAATCGAACCCGAGACCCCTTGCCCGGCAGTCGCACTTGCGACCACTCGGCCAACGAGGCAGTCTGTATACTTCTATTAAATAGAAAATCTTTAATACAATTCCATTTATTCAATTTTTATTTGTTATGCACCCAAAGTGTTGCCACCCAAACATACTAGCTCCAGCTAGTACCTTAATCCACTCAACCTAATTATCAACTTTGCTTTTATGGAGCTACATTGCATAGCTACATTGTCTAAAACTGGCATTAGTTTCGTAATATCGTAGCTAGATGGAGTAACAGCCATGTTAATATTATAAGGATTCATTAGTGCGGCTTATATTGTATCAAAAACGTCGAAATCCCACATTACAATTCAATTAAATACATGATAATAACTATTTTATTTACAATTTTCGGACAATTTCAGTGATAAGCCAATATTTTAAGGCAGTTTTCAATCAATGCAATAAACAATAACACGTTCAACGTAAGCCGGTTAACAGCGCATTTTAAGCCGTATTACCTGATCCACAATAAAGCAACCCTTGAAAAAGTGCCGAAAAGCAATACACTGCTTTGCGAAGTGACCGGAAAATTTGATAGTACTTTGGGCAGAGCGAGCGCTGGAGCCGCGTAAGCGACTTCATAAGCGGAGCGGGCGCTTGCAGCAAGCAAAATTACGCTTGTAACACTACTCTCATGGCCCTCGATAAAACACTGACACTGAACTAAAATTTTCACTAAATTGAAAACCCTCGCGTTTAGTATCAAGCTTTTAGTGTGAAGCATTCATCGAAATAGTTATTTCGTATTCTGTTACAGGTATTTTTCAATTAAAAGCTTGATGGTTATTTGAAGTGCTGTTATCCGATCGTTCTTGTTTGATTTGCCTGCTAACTTTATATAGGCTGGAATACGTGGCTAGTTAATGTTCACGTAACGTAAAATCAATTGATTTTAGTAAATTTAAAACCAACAAGAATTAAGGAGCATATTTTAAAGTAACTCTAAAATGTTTATTTTAATTTATAAAAGCTTAAACCACTAGAGCTTTAGTAGAATTTAAAATTATAAAAGTAACTATAGGCCTGCTGTGAATAGCATACTTTGAGGGCGCTCGAGCCTTATTATTTAGCATAAAAACAGTTTACACAAAACAGTCTGTCGGTAACCACACGTCTGACAAGGCTCTACGCCCCGGCGCACTGTAACGAGGTTAGCAATTTTCTTTCATTCAACATTATTGCAACACCTACGGACATGAAAGGCGTGTACGACTCACGTCTTGTGGGGTAACCATGTTGTGTATGAAGTTGGGATAAGGGGACTGTTTTTTTTGTTAATTTTTATAAAAAAAATGTAGGTGGCGTGTTTTAGAATTCTGTTATGATGATGACGATGTTGGTGACCTGTTGGATGTTTGATGCCTACAAAAGATCTTGCATTGCCGATCTTTTGAAGGGATACATAATTATGTTGTTTTCAATATTATAAATATTTCTAAAAAGCATTTTTAATTTTTTTTAATCTATCTGTAAGGACATCTAAAAAGTAAATTAGTAGCAGTGTATTCATTACATTAATGTTAGCGAACTAAATAATGCAATAACTTTAACAAATACTAAATCTTACGTTATGTAATATACAAATAATATCTACAAATTATTCAATAAAATAGATCCCTATTTGATAAAGGATTACGTGGTGTCCGTACGACGCCGCCCTTGCGCGCCCCCGCGTGCCGTGCGCCACTAATTACTGCGTACCACAGTTTCTTCCGCATTTTTCATACAGATCACGGACCTACTCAACTCGCCGATATCGATTCGCAAGTTCACCCGGGAATTGCTTGCGGTACCGTCTAAGAATCGCAAGAATGCAGTCCTGGAAGCCCCTTTGTCCTCCACGAAAAAGGTTCGCAATTATGTGCGTAACTAAACACTGTTGACTTGAATGTAATGTATTTAATTTTACTACAACTTCTTTACTTTGGTGGTATTTGAACTAATTTTAGTAATAGTTGTTAGACTTTTTTTTTAACGTCCTTGTGAAAACCTAAAAATATTTTATACAATTCTAGATTTCTATGAGTTCTAGAATTACTGATGTGCGAATAATTTCTTATAATAAAATGTAAACGAATTTGATGTGAATAGAAAGGTCCGAATAATGCCATGAATGGTCGCATTATAATGGAAAGTTCAGAGGTTACAGTCTTCTCTTTATTTAATGGTGATAATGATGTTACATTTAAAATCTAAAAATCTCAATAGTAGCACGGAGTCTAGAATTGTGCCCGGTATATAGCAATAGGTTTACCCCTTATTACATGAGACATAAAACATAAATAGTGAAAAGTGTATGTAACATTGTACACTGGAAATTAAGTTCCGTATGTGCATATCTGTGCCTACGCCTTCAGGCATAAAAGGCGTAATTTTATGATATGTTACCTATTTAAAATGTTTTGTGGAATTAGGAATAGGTTAGTTAGTTTAATTTAATATTTAGTTTGATCAATAGAGTTAGATGTTTGGTGAGATAAGAAACTCAATAAAAAATAAATTGAATACTCCTTTGAGCTTTTCATACAAAAAGCCAATTTATTTAAATGTACCAATTTAACGATTACAAAGCTGAACAAAAGTTGCTTAGAAAATTGAAAACCCGACATACTCGTTTGCGGCGGGAACAAAATCAATAAAGAAAATTACGATCGAACAAGTTTCGTAAATGCGTAATTTATTTCGCTGCGAAATAATGGAAATTTAATTTATATACAATGAAGGCCTACCCCGACAACGTACCTAACTGTTTAATTATTTTATAGATGTTAGGTAGGCAGATGGACTAACTACTAATGGAGTTACACGTTGCTGTATTATTTATCACTCAATTCCAATATTAGCAGATAGGTACAACAGTAATGAACTAAGAATATATAATAATAAATTATGTATACAAAAAGGTGAAATTGAATAAAATTTTGCAATGAGTCGCCATAATGAAGGTGTGGATCAAAGATTAAATCAGTGTCGCACTTCACTCATTTTTGAAAATAGGTAGTTCAGTGGTTGGGCTCGGCTCAGCCGTCCAGTCCCCATGTAACGCGTGCCGCGACTCGTTGTTTTCTTTTTTGCTCTTCAACTTCTCGGGTGCGTATCAACGGCCTGGAGTGTCGGCGGGTGTAAATTGAAACACTTGCAAATTTACCCCATACATTATTCATACCCCACACACCCTCAGAGCTAGCGACTGACAGTTACAGTTGACGTAAAGTTCGCAAAACTGAACGCAAAATGAATCTATACCACGCTAAGCTATCACATTCGACCTTGAATTTCTGAATGAATGCACAGCATATTGAGTTTAGGACCTTCTCAATAGAGTCTATTGTTAAATAAATGATAGGGTACGAGTAATTGTCTGTGGTACCGCGACGCAAATCACACCCTATACTAGCAGCTTCGTGGCACATAAGTAAAGTGGGTCAACCATTATACGTCTAACAAATGGGTACCCGCCTTAAGTCGGGCTGTGCAATAAGGAGTTGGTTCAGAAACCAACCTGCATTATTCTGACCCTAATAAATTTGCCAAGTCAAACGGGCATTGTCAGACAAATGAGCTTGAGACGCACAGTAAAGATACTTCAGACATAATAGACTGAAGCACAAACAAACGCGTACAATGTACATAACACAACTACATTACCTTCGTCTTTTCCCAGTATGAGCACGTCGGTGTATTTGAATGTGAGAATAAAATAAGCTTTTCTACGGCGAAATATTGTGAGAATGTCATCGATTGCGATTCATCGCGTACCGCCTTGTGTAAGCAGAATTGAAGCGTATGAATATGCTAGCACACACCTATTTTCTTTTCATAATATGATATGACTGTAAGATAAAGGTAAAATAACGATAGTATTTTCAAGCTATTATGAACCGATTATTATTTATGTTTGAATGACCAAAAGTTCCATATAGTAGAAGACAGTCTTCTATAGATTTCGCATATCCTTAAATGGGGAAAAATAATGATTAAGTCATGTTAGTAAGTACGCACGTATAGTTGAACTACCTAATTGAAATGTTCTACGTAGATAAATACTGTAAGTCAAAATCTTCAAGCTTACTGATTCATACCAATCGTAGCCCAACTAAAACACCGAACAGCTACCTGCAAACATTGTCTAAACTCAACCAATTCCGTTGATTTACGCGTTCGTGTTGGAACACGAATATTAAAACATGATTTAGGACAGCAAATAAAAAATATCCGACCAAAACCTATACAAGCGTAATGTTAATTTACAAAACACATTTTCCTTGGAGAGTTTAACGTAATTTCTTTCTCACCAAGGCGTTTCCTGAAATAAATTACAAGTGTAAAATTCACAACAACAAAAGCGTAACAACAAAAGGCTCGCGGCTCGCAACATCCGGACGACCCTTCCAAACTTAGCAGCCTGATTACGGATTTCCGAGCAAAAAAAAAATAAAGGGAGAAATAATACGCAACCATGTTAAAACCCAAGTGTTTTCAAACAAACCACTCTTGTGTTGTTAATGTTAAAAATAATGAAGATTTCATCCAATTTTGTAATATTATCTCATAACTCTTTATCGATGTTCTCAATGGAACACTTTCGTCTTAGTAGGGCGTTAATGTGAAAGTCGACGTAATCAAACAAGGCAGGGTCTGGTTTGTAATGTCTGACATAGAGATGAAATCTAGGGTCTTTCGGCACAACTCGCTTTTCTTCATCTCCTCCAGCTCGAATAGGAGTCGGCGCTGGTGCCGGAGGATACTTCGTCGTACACTTTATTGTAAACGGCCCACGGCCTTCCGTTTGCTCAGCTGGCCTAAGTCTCTTCCACAAAAAGGGTTCCTTATGAATCCGTCCGTGATGCAGCGCCCGATGCCTGTTATCCTCTCGTTTTGATTTCAGTGTCGGGGTAGTCAGTTCATACATTTCGGCCAACGATAAGTACCAATACTCGGCGCCGTCCCCTATTATCGGAAACAACCTCTTATTCGAAAAAGCCGGTCGGTGTTTTCTTACAAACTCATCATATTTCCGCTTCAACCTCTTCATGTATTCGGTATACTGAATAGATTTTAGTAGTTTTTCAAATTCAGACAGTTCTGATGTTGCATACTCTGAATATACTCCGGCACAGACGTATGTTCTAAGTAAATGATGTAATTTGAAGACAACGAAAGCAAGCCACGTGCGAGCTTCTTCCTCTAAAATCCTCAGATCGTCTGCTCGACTTCTAATACCGAATTCCGCAGCTTCAGCCGCTCGTCTTTCTCCACGTTCTTTCACAGTAGCCAACCAGCGGCGATAAGTTCGGTAGCAGAACTTTGTACGCCTTGAGTAGTGGCCACGCCACAATGCCTACATTGAACAAAATATATCTATATTTGTATAAACATAATTATAATATACATTTAAGAGACAGGGGAACCACTCAATATATACTAGTACCTGTATCCTCATAGCAGCACGAGCGTAATATTTGTTATGTTTGTCGCGCACGGCTTGTTTAAGCGCGGCTCGTCTTGCCTTCATTGCCATGAACCTACGAAAGGCACATTGGATGATTGTAGCATTATGTGATAACCATGCCACGTGCCTACGGATTAGCCAACCACGAGTTATTTTAATCATGATCATTACAGCCGTAAATCTTTCATGGCGATGATGTTCTGCAGCATCTGATTTTACTTGTAACTCCGCGTAAAATTCAGCAGAGGTCGGCAATAATCTATGCACTGAAGCCATTTTATTGATTTCTTTAAAATTATTTGAGTTATTTTTAGTCCATAATACTATAGTTGACGCAACCTGTCAAAAACTTGAAAATATTGTTTTATTTTTGGTTGTTGAATGGCTGGACGGTTGAAAATAAAAGAGGTTTTATTTTAGTTGGGACGTAACAGGATACTTGAACTGTTTCATATATTTCTATTATTTAATTATTGCGGTTTGAAGACAAATAATAAAGCATGAAAATTAGCAGGTCTAACATAATTTTAATAATAATATGAACCTCCCAAGTTATTCAGTCGTAGCTTCCTACCTGTTCCCCTTATTTCCGTGCTCACTTAATCATAATGACACTTTTGGTGCTTTCCAAGCCACGGTAATAAGTTCAGATATTTTTTTTATTTGTGCCCTTAAATGAGGCGGTGTCTCGGTTGCCCATTTCGTTATGTTCCCCCGAGCAACGATACGAGATGTTTAGAGAGTACTCCTCTATCCCCTCGGCCCTCGGCACCCACGCCGTGTGAGACATCATGAATAATTCAACAATCAAATTGGCAAGGTGTGTACGCCTGTTTATTTATTTTCACCCGAAATTTAGTGGTAATTTTCATACCTATGTGTGTTCCTGGAATTGAGTTGCTCGGTGGAGACTAATTAATTTTGTCGATGTATTTGTTTTATGTTTTTATATTTTCGTTTTTTAACTCAAACAAGTTGTTAAATTCACACTATCTCGTGTAAGATTTACTCTTCTTATTCTAAAGATACAATTGTCGTATCCAGTAAGAGTAGCTATCTATCAAAGTAAATCTAGGTAGTTCAACCCATTTCTGGAGCCATTTCACCTGTAAATTGTAAAAGAAGCCTCGTCTTTACAACTTGTTGTTTTATTCTGTGTAGCTTTCAAAATAAACAGAGTCGGTTTTTGTTTTTAAGTCGTTAACGTCTCTTTTAAAATCAAGGCTCCAGGGAGAGAGAAGTACTTTAATAATTAATAATATACCCGCGGTGAGGCTTCTCGACCGAGAAAATAATGATGCCGTTGAATTTTTAAACATTTTAACATTTAACTGGAGATAGCAATCAGGCGGGTCAAGTGCTATAAAAATTCAGTGACGAAAGTTTTTGACGTGCTGTGATGGGTTTCTGTAAAGATGAGTAGACTTTGTGTCTGACTTTGAATATATTTTGTCGTATTTAATGACAGTGTGAGATAAATGATTTTCGAGTTAATAAATAATAGGCACTACCATAAAATCAGTAAAGTCGAATGTTTTTTGTTGAATTTATGAAATCGTTAAGACTTTGACTGCCAATAAAAAACTGTTGAAGGTAAATCCTCCGCTAACGTCGGTCACCGGTGACCCCCATGGCGTTTAACGTGTTAGAATACAATAATGTTATAATATTTCAACACAAATTGAAAATTATAACTGGCAACCAGTAAATGTTACAACAAACAAGAAAGAACCAAAACATTTTCTTAAAAGTTGGTATTGTGCCCGACGCTAGCATTTATCATTAAACTGTAGAGGCTATTAAAACACTATTAGTGCCTTACTTACCGACAATTTAGTGGCCGTACACTTTATAGCAAACATTAAAAACAAATTAAATTGTACCGATATTGGTGACAATTAATACTCCGTTGCCGATACACTTACGGTTGCGTTGCAATCAACTCAAGTTGTAATTGATACGTTGAATTAAGTTTAATTTACAGACTAGCTTTTACCCGCAGTTTTGGATGCATATTCCTGTTTCATCCTATGGGTGTATTTAATCGGGATAAAAATGTGATAAAATTCAGTATATAGGCAGGTCTGTATACTTAATTTTATCAAAATCCGTTCAGTAGTTTCAGCGTGATTGACGAACAAACATTCAAACAAAGAAACTTTCACAATTATAATATTAGTTTGATTTATTTTGTTAGGTGGAGCTACATTTTACACAAAAACCGAACTACGATCAATAGTCGTAATTCATATATCATGGACATAAAAGAAGTTGGTGCCAGTAAAAATGACAATTAGGTATGAGTTGTCTTAAGTTTCGAGACTATTTTTTGCTAATGTTGGAACTTTACATAAAGTTTCAAAATTGTACCTGATATTTGGTAGAAAAAACAATAATAAAACGAGTAATAATTATTGTCCTCGTTAATAGACACAATGACAAATTACTAAACAAATTAAAAGAACAACAAAGATCTAGAGCGAAACTCTGTGAAACTAATTAAGTGTAATAATTTAACAATCATTAACAGAGCTATAAAAATTCATAAAAAATAGATCTTTTATAGAAAAATGTTGTCATTAAATGAAGCAAGTTCAATGAAGCTAAGACAACATTGAGGTGAACAAATGTGTTGATATAATACACATTATTAAAAAAATATATATACCTACATTTTATCTCATTCAGCTATCATAAACGTAAATAAATAAATCAATATAAAGTTTAATTTATTAACTTCACAATAATAAATAATGAACAAGAGACAATAAATATAATTGACGGGTATCACGTACAGTATCAATATCCAAATGAAACAATATTCATGCCAACATGAATTGGTTTAAATTTTTGCACATAATTAAATTTCGGTAATAATAAACTGGGTGCGCTTGACACTTCGTAATAAACTAGTGATGATTTTTTTAAAACAATTTCATTATCATTTACAAAGGACGGTAATTGTGGGAAACCAGAGCATAATTTTCGTCTGTGATATAATTATAAAATATTATAATATAATTATGTAAGTGTATATATAAAACAAGCAACATATTGATTACATGTTATGTGTCAATTGATGCTATGAATTAAAGAAATATTATTTCAACCATTCAACATCAACAGCCTATAAGTTGCCACTGAACCAAATGCCTCATTACGCTCGGAAAAGGTTTGAGCATTAATCACCACGCTTGATCATTATAAGCCCAGGCTTCCTTATAATGCTTTTGTTTCACCGTTCGTCAAAGGTGGCTGAATAATCTTATCTCTAACTTGTACTGTCTAGTTTTTGTAAAGAAAAATCGAGAAATTAACCTACTAACGTATCTTCGCTAAGTCTTAGATGTGTAAATCATAATAATTTTCTAAATGGCTATAGTCTCACAATGAACCAAACACTGTTACAGGTTGAGCAAAGGAAATTATTGAATGCGAATCGTATTTACGTGTAACTGGTAAATTTTGTCCGAAAGGTAAAACTCTACCGTTGGGCACACAAAAAATGTTGTTTCAAACGTTTTCTCAACCCCAATCAACAACTCAAGATACTTGAAATTCCTTTGAAAGGGTTTCCAAAAATGTTGATAGGGATAAATTCGGACCGATTTACTGTGAAGCTTTCGAACATGTATTCTATATGTAGTTATACGTCTATGGTACGTGGTATACTCGATTGGTCCGTACAATCACTGATTCTCTTTGATTAAATTCCCAATTCGAACGCTGATTACAACAAATTACAGACGCTTTGTTATTTTCACATACAAAGCGAATTCAAGTAAATTACTATTAATTGAGTTTCGTAATATGGACTTTTTGTTTTAAGGTCTTTTTGATATTTTAGTTTACTCAGCTTATGGTCCATAGACCATATTTGAATATTAAATACTTTAGTACCTACTAATAAAACTTTTAAAAGCAATTTTTTAACAAATATGAACCAAATAAAATTGATTAAAAAACATACGATTGCCCTAAAATCTTCACTATCAGACTACATTGCATCTGAACACACTACGTGTACTGCCCACGACCATGCTAGTGCCATGTAATAATGTAACAACATTAAAACAGCAAAACGCACTACATCTAAGCGGATTCACAAATTATAACACTACGTAGAGCACTAAAACGTTTCACTAATTACAGTTGCAATGCTAGGGATGGTGCATTGCAGTGTTTCAAGTAATATTCACTAATATCCTTAAGACAATGCTAGGCGAGCTAGTTCACTCTAACTGCTAAGATACTCAGAATTAGCGTCATACATACGTGATCATATTAAGCTAACTGCACATTCCACATACGTTAGTAGAACAAATGAAGTAAGTTTAAGACGAATATTCGTCGCGTGGTACTCTTATCGTGGAAACGTTGTAATTAGAAGACCTAGTGCGAGAGAGTTTGGTCTACGTCGACGCGGTCGTCAGGTATATGACGTTCGGCGCTCTGATTGGCCAGCTCAAATGAACCAACCAATCAGAGAGCTGAACGCGATAACGTTTCGATCATGTTAATGTGAAAAAAAAAAACTCTCAACTAGGCCCTTTGAATTTTAAAAGGCTCTAAGAATTACGATATTTAATTCGTGTTTATTTGACTTTTATAATGCTCATTTTTCTTTTGATGGTGCAAAGTTTGTTGCCGTTTTATTTAGTCGTATTTCTAAATATAAATTTTACGTTTTTATTTTTGGTCTCCATTCAAAAGTAATTTTTACTCGAACAAAATTTGCAGTTTGTTCGAGTGTCTGTGTCTCTCTGAGAACTGATTACACCCCCTACATTTTCTACTCTCTACTCTTGCATTTGATGACGCTATTCTTAAAATCATCCATTAAACCATCATAAGAGAAAGAGGATTATTGATGACCATAATCAAAAACAATAAGCTTGCAAAGGAAATCAATAAATCAAATCTCTTAAATCGGTATTATATCATTACTATTATAGTATCATAAAAATAAAATACTATATCAAAATCATCTTTGGAATTTTAACCCTACGCTATTCATTCAAACACCGTTCAATTAATACACATTACAAACTTGAATAATAAACTTGCCAATCGAATCACTATTCATTCACTCGTTTCTATTTAACACAAACACCAACTATTTACACAAATATAAAATTCTGCGCAAACCTATGGGGTGTTAATACAAATTCAGTGTGGGAGAGTCATGCTTAGGCACGAATGGGCTGGCTTGACCAGAATGATACTACGGCCTCACAGGAACCCAGCGTGAAACAATGCTTGAGTACCTATTTAGC